TAAAAATACTTACTAACAGCAACAGGCCAACTACTAAACCTCACACAGCATATCGAAGATGGTTTCTAACAAAAGTTGATCACCGGCACAGATTTTGTTGACCTATCTGCTGCATATGATACTGTAACACTGCATCATGATCCACAAACTACTTTATGACTAACAACTCGGATCTAAGCCAGACCATCTGTAGCCTCATGGAGAACAGGCGCTTCTACATGTAAGTACATGGCCAGAAAAGTAGGTGGCACTCTCAAAAGCTTACCGTAAGGCAGTGTGCTCATCCCACTTTTATTCAACATCTACATGATCAGACACTTTCTGCTAAATGTCAGCATTTCATTTATGCTGACAATCTCCACATTACCACACAGCAGAAGAATTTTGAGGATACAGAGAAGATCCAGGAGAAAGCACTAAACAAGATATCAGATTATTACCTAAATAATTTCCTGAAACTGAAACCTAGCAGAACCCAAATCTGTGCTTTGCATCTGAGGAAATGGTGGAATAACACTTGAATGTCACCTGCAGTGACCAGAGTCTTGAACATCAGAAACACCCGGTCTGCTTAGGGGTAACACTAGATTGAACACTTACAAAAAGCACATATTAAATACCAAAGCCAACGTCAACATATGAAACAACATTCTGCAAAAGCTCACAGATTTCAAGTGAGGAGCACATCTATCCACCCTACGCACTACTGCCTTAGCACTTTGTTTCTCTATGGCTGAATATGCCTGCACCACCTCGGGACTCTCAAGTCACAGTAAACATATTGACACTGCCTTAAATGACACAAGCAGAATTATAACAGGCTACCTAAAACCCACCCCTGTTGAATGGAGGCAATGAGGAAACCCCCCCAGTGAGGAGTTAGCATCTGGCTCCAATTACAAATGGCACACATGGCAAAGACAAATGGCACACATGGCAAAGCATGAACAGATTGAGAGTGGGTCTCGGCAGATGCAACTTTGTCATGAAATCACATGGCCTCTATGCAACCGACCAATGTTTGTCAAGAGAAGCAAACCATGGGTCATCTCCTGAGATGCCCTGTAGCACCACAATGCACCCCACAAGATCTGGCAATGCCAATACTAGAAGCAGTGGCCTGTGGAGAATATTTGGAACAGACCAGATAGAAAGGTTGGATTGGAGATACGATGAAGACGGCTAATAACAATTTTACATATGCAATGTACGTAGAAAACTATATTTCTTTCTCTTATTTTACTGGACAAAATATTAGGAGGAAAGTTCTTTGCCTTTTTAGGGCTGATTATACTGATTATGCTTTCAACTTATTAAATCTTTTTTTAAACTCGTGGGTAAGATGTTTTTTTTTCAATTTCTTATTGTAACTATAATCAAAGTAAATTGCTAAAGAAGAATAGTGTGGGCTGAATGTAGCTACTTTACATTGGATTACACAGTGTAGATACAGTAAGAGATAATTATTGTGTTCAAGATAATTAATAAGCTATAGTGCAAGAGTAAACTGCATTAAATAAATTTTCCCTTACAGCCTTTACTTTTGCCAAAATGTACTTCATTGACAGGAACAATTAAGATCTCTGGCTTAGGTTCTTAGCTTGCCTTGAGTAGCATTCAGTGTATGGAAGGAGGGGAACAACACTTGATTTTTACCACTTCTTCCTCTTTCATCCTTCCCTCCAAAATCCCAGGTGCAACTGGTTTAGTTTTTGACAAAATGGCAGCCTCAAAGCTGTTACAAGCTGTCTGGCTGCAATTCCTCAAGGGTTCATTTTGTATTAGGGAATTCTCAAAGCATGGACCACCTGCCTATCCTCTCTTCAATCCTCTCTTCATTGGGGGTCACCAATGTAGCCAACTCAAAATCAGACAGGGATTTCCCTACTTCACGGTAATTCCTAGGTAGCTGATTAAGGCTGTTTTGCACCCCTGGGATGGCACAAACAAACTTTACCAGGGCAAGTATCTGACCTGGTGCAGTGCAAGTGGCTGTTAATGAAATCTAATAATCAGATTTCAGTCATTTAACAGGGCTGTTCAGTTTCTGAATTGTTACACCCATTGTTCTCCCTCTGATAGTCCTCTGTGCAGTTACTTTGAGCCCTGACTTGCAATCCTTACTAAGGCATGACTCCTTCAAGTCAAGGGGAGTTTGGTTTCAGTAAGGACTGGGTCTTCAGGTCTCTGGCAGCACAGAAGACTAACATATTTACTCAGGTATACACTCTTCCTGACCTGTTGGCAAATAATTTCAGACAATGTCCTCTCAAACTGCAGGCAAAAGAAAACCCCAAACCCTCATTCTGCTTGGCAAGGATTTTGAGACAAAAAATCCCCACAGACTTAAATTTAAAAATCACAGAGAATAACAAAAAGTTCCATTCATTTTGCTTTCCTCTACATCCATTTAAACTCTACATACAGAACAATGCTTTGTGGTTTGAGGCCTGTATAGGACTACAGCTAAGAAAACTGCAGGAAAACACCCTTCTGGTTGGTTATATAACCCAGGAAGCATTTCACCAGTTTCCTGCCTTTTTATAGTTTCTCAGTTCACAATGGGACTATGGGTCTTTGGTCATGTCCTTTTGTCTGTGGACTCTCTAGGATGGTGTTTGATATGATGCTACACTTCCCAACATCCATGAACACTAGCAGCCTTTAGCATTTATTAATTTGACCTTGACTTTTTCTTTAAAAAAATATAATATGTACTTTAGTGCCTGGTTGACAGCCCTAGGAGACTGCTTGAAATGTGGGCAATGACAGGCTAAATTTTCCTAATTCGCATTTTCCATATCCATAGAAAATCATAGAAAATTAGGGTTGGAAGGGACCTCAGGAAGTCATTTAGACCAACCCCCTGCTCAGATAAGGACCATCCCCAATTAGATCATTCCAACTAAGGCTTTGTCTAGCTGGGTCTTAAATCTCCAAGGATGGAGATTCAACAACCTTTCTGGGCAACCTGAGCCAGTATTTTACTACCCTCCTAGTAAGAAAGTTTTTCTTAATAATGTTCTTTCTTTTCTTGACCATTCTATCAAAGTTGCTTACAGAGGAGGGGGCAATTGTAGTTCAAGCTCAGCTATAATCCCATTTTGTGCTGTTTACTAATCACTATTGTTTATCAGTTCACTGAGACCTGGGCTAAAACACTGAAATCAGACTTATCAAACATGGCCAAAAGCCATCAGATGCCCCAAAGTTGTTTCCAATACCTATTTAAAAGGAAAATCATACTCTCATAACCAGGAGGAAAATAATTTTGGGGATGATGCAGCCTTTAAGATAACATGTGAAATGTGTTGTGTCCCCTGCCTAAAAGGATAATAGAATATGCATAGTCAGTGATTAGATACATAGCTGTCTGACATGCTTGCAAAAATATTGTTCTTATAAACATTATTTTCTGCTGTATTTTTCATGCTTTACTCTTGGATTTCCTTAACAACATCTTTCATCCTACTAGGATGCAAGTGCTTGCAGCCATATCACCTTAGGTTTTTATAATCTCATGAACCCAAGAGGGTGAGGCTAATCAGTACCTGGATGAGTAATCTCAAAGGCATACCAAGATTATTCAGTAGTTGTCACTATCTGCTAAGGCAATGAACAGACATTGCATGTGTCCCAGGAGAAAGTCTTTTGTCTGATGTACACATCAAATTATCCTGCTTCAAGTCCCTCTAAAGCATGCCAGATAAAACACACTAATGCTTTTCCCCAATATAGCCCATTATACTTCTGAACAGATATTGTGGTTCATTCCAGTGACAAACTTGTCAGGCTCTTTACTCTAGCTGGCCATTTACTGATAAAGAAGTAGTAATGTAGCTTGGAACAGTGGCACACGCATAAGACACTGCCACACTAGTTTTAATTTGAGTCACATACCAGGATAATCAATGCTGTGTCAAATAAGATGTCTGTTTACAACCTAAAAGAGTTTTGAAACAATAATCCAGTGTGCTAAAGATGTTAC